TACAAGTATAATTTTAAAAACCTACTATACCTATTGAATGTCATACTCGATTTTGAATAGGTAGAAAAATATTCGTAAAGATAATTATTCAGGATTTTCTAATGATCGTTTAGACAGGAGTATATTTTACGTCTTACTAAACGATAACTTACGAGTTTACGACAATTAATTTAAAAAAAACTGTTCGTTATCTTATATATATTATCTTATCGTTACTGCATTAATTATAAATGTGTTTTTTTTAAAGAGCAATATTGCAGACTAGATACAGATATTATTATTAATATTGTTACAAGTATGGAAGAAGTAGAGACGTACGTATTATTTATTATAAGTAAAGTAGGACAGTGTTATGGTATTAATATTATCGTATGACAAAAGATGATATATACTATATAGATGGTAAACTGTTTGTAACGTACGGCTATAATAAATCTTAGGAAATATTCATAAGTCGTATCGTATTTGGCGCTCCTATTTTTGATGTCACTAAATGGTCACTTGTCAGTCTCTCATGAAAAAAATACGATCTCCAAATCGATGCAAATCGAACATACTAGAATCGATTCTCGATTAAGTCAAGCATTAACAGATCTATTTTTGATCAATCGCGACATTTTCAAACATGCCTAATATAGACACAGAACATTATTGACGATAACTTACCGTAAATACAAGTAACTGTATAGAAAAATCATAAAATCAACAAACATAACATTACGCCAGTATTTTCCAGAAGGAGTAGGTGGAGGTGTGTATGTACTGTTATGTTATACATCCCATGTAATAGGGGATGCGCGTATTGCCAAACACCGGACACAAATCCAGACTCCGTGCTACTACTGGGAACTTCAAGTTATAAAAACCCAATAATAATTTGCCCGACCCTAGGATCGAACCCAGAACAGAACAGTTTTTCTGTCTGTCACAAGGAACAGATGTTCCAACTACGCAAATGTATTTCTTGAATCGTTTGAAATATAGCTAGTTCTTGAATTAGTCCGATTCGAGAGGTTTCTGTATCGACATCGGACAAGGATTCTTCAGATCTATATCGATCTGGAAAATCGATTCTGTTACTATAAACAATCGATTAAACGATTTCAAATGGACATGCCTACTTTGTACCGTCATCTCTAATTCTGTCAAAGTTACATTGGTTGGCGTCGTTTGCAATTGTAATTGTCTTTGCACATAATTGTATCGGTGTTGTGGTGACTTTTGGGACTATATATTGAACATTACGATTTGGCTATTTTAACGGACTCTGATTGCTTTCAAAAACGACTTACCTTGCTGTGATTTTTGGTACTGTGTACCACTCAAACGATAACCTAGCATTCATAAACGGACTTACGCATACGCAATGGAAAGTGTATTTTGTGTAAATAGCGGCTGTGCTGGTGGTACAATATTGTTTAAAGATGAACAGAGAAGCAATCATGCAATATTGCTGTAATTGCATCGTTGTACGCAGAACCATCGGTTACTGCGCCCATGTTATGGCCATTATTTGGTACTTGAGCTTTACGAGACATCAAAATAATATCGACATCCCTGCACAGTTTTTAGACAATATTCTTATTTCCAATTTAGAAAATGAACAATAAAAATGAAATTAATCTGTGTTTTATTTCTAATTCAAACATAATAAGTTAATGTACGTGTAAAAACAACTTATACTACCAATTAGGTACTAAGTCGGTAGGGCTGGTTTCATAGTCACGCGTTTGAACAGCGCCGTCCAGACGCACACGCTTGCAAATGTACTAGATAGTAGTCTATATAATATTCACGCTGTTCATGCGCGCGCTGTTGAAACTTGGTTGAAACCGTGGTTGATACGCTCGCTGTTCGACGGCATGTCTAGCGGCGGGCGTGACTGACAGCCTAAATCCTTATACATTTAGGTACTAGGTATCTTACCGTACCGTATATGCTAATGACAACATCTAAATGCTAACACAACAAACATTATCTCTCATTTCAAAACCAATGCTCAGAAAGCAGGTTTGTTAACTACATTCTATGGATTTATACGTTGCACTTACATACACTTAGGCTTTAGAACAAAAATTGCATACCTAATTATGTAGATAGGTACTAGAAATAGCTATATGTTTTAGGACATCGTTTTTCAGTTTGTTAAAAATCACTCGGATCTATGAAAAACCGTAATATTCGTGGTTCGATTATAACCTCAAAATCTGATACTTTTTTTTGAAATATATCTATTATGCAGCTAGTCCGCTATAAAAATAAGATCAAATAGGAATTTACTAATGATCAACAATATAAAACATAATTTTCCGATGCTCTTGGTTCCAGGGCGAACAATGTATGGGCGCAGAGCAATGTCCTTTAAATGTGCGAAGGCATGATATCATTGCTGGTTGCACATATTATTCTGAAATCGAAATAACAAAATAAACACGTCAGTTCAACCCAAATGTTTATTTAGCGCACGATGTTAGTTGACTAGAAACTCTAAAGAAAATGTATTAAAATTTCTTATCATTGCTTGAAGCAACCTTCATTTCATAGCGCTGTACTCTAAGTTAGTGTATCTGACTGCATAATTGATTTCGAGTAAGGGATAGGGCTGGGGTTAGGATTAAAGATATTATATGATTTTCAGAAAACGCGTAGAAATTTGTAAGTTTAGTTTTTTATTAATGTCACTTCCCCCATTTTATTTGTCTGTGTTGTATGCCGTGCTGGTTTCAAAATAACAATAGTATTAACAGACTTAATAAAATAAAAAGGGGTAAGTTTTAATGTAGTTTTTCCTTACATCTTTATATATAAAAATCACGTGTCACGTTGTTTGTCCGCGATGGACTCCTAAACTACTGAACTGATTTCAATGAAATTTTGCACACTGTGTGCATTTTGGTCCAACTTGAGAGATATGATAGATTTTATCCCACTCAATGACTCTAAAAATTTTTTATTGCGAATTTAAAGATTTTATAGAAAGGGTCGTTGGAAAAGGCAGAACAACGTCTGCCTGGCGAGCTAGTAAATATATATGGAATAAATGTTTTAGTTAGTTTATTGTGATTAGATTGCTTATAATTATACCGACTTGGATTTGTATATCACAAGGCAATATATGTTTTTTTAGGGTTCCGTACCTCAAAAGGAAACAACGAAACCCTTATAGGATCACTTTGTTGTCCGTCTGTCTGTCTGTCTGTCTGTCTGTCTGTCTGTCAAGACCCTTTTTTTTCAGGAACACGTGGAGGTATTCAGCTGAAATTCATATCAAATACTCAAGTCTACTGTCCCTTGGAGCTGTGAAAAAATCAACCTTCTAAGCCAACGCAATCAAAAGATACAGCCGTTTAGGCCGCAAATTTTCGACATTCGCAAGGAAATCAAAACCTACAGGGTACTTCCCGTGAACTCAGAATCTTAAAATTTGGTACGAAGTAACATCTTATAGTACAGGTAAAGGAAAAATTGCGAAAAGCATAAATTTTTAGTTACATAATATAATAAAAATATTTTTAATTTTTGGATTTGTTCGGAACCCTCGGTGCGCGAGTCCGACTCGCACTTGGCCGGTTTTTTTTAATTAGAAGAAAGTTACACAAACAAGTACACAGCTGATACTGAGTGCTGTAGCCTTTAGATACCACATTTATACTAGAGAGGATCAAAAAAAAGATGCGTCGTCATCCCTAAATATTTAGGTAGAATGCCTCCCTACTACTAAAATGATTCTCCGGCTCTCGTCGAATAGAGTAGTATGATGATGGTATTCTGTGCGAGCGAGATTCTTCCCCAGACTTACTAATTCCTAGTACCTTAATAATTACTATACGATCTTTAGGCACTAACCATCTCCAAAAATTCGTAATATCCTAGGAGAAAAAATTACGACCTTATTTTCTTTTGAGAATTAATCGCATAATTGCATTCTTGGTCTTGACATATGAACCTATATATCAAATCCAATTTGAGTAACTTTGACAAGAATAAAAATGGGACTGCCAGGAGGTTATAAAATTTAAAATAATTGCTATTGTAAATGTCAAAGAAACGAGTATGAACAAACACATATTGTCCTTGACCATAGTTTTTTTTTATTATACTGACCTTTAAAGAGCTTCTGATCTTAATTGGAAAAATTTATCTGTAATAGAAATCAAATAAGAAGATAATAACTACACAACAGTCGAACGTCCCTGATTAACTTTAAATCTAAACGCTTCTTTTGTGAAATATGCTCGTATTTATTTATTTTTAAATTTAAAAATAACAAATCTCTTTTTATTCTTTTTAACAACACTAAAATTTGTTTTGGTGGATAATCTTATTGGCCATTTCCCAAAAGCTGTTTCAGCTTCAAAATAGTTCGGCTTTACCCTAATGGGAAGTGACTACTAAACCAATAAAAAAACAGTAGTTAATTCTAGATCAAAGAGACTTGTCATCACTGAAACATGTATTTATGTAAAAGGTACGAAATTTATAAACATGCTGTTGGTCCTAGTAGTGTTGGTTTTAGTGATAGCATTAATAGAGCACGCCGTAGTGGGATATAGGAACGTAGAAGTGTTCTTCAAGCTAAATCTCTAGTAATCGGCCATCCAACCGTTCATATATTACAGCCTATAAGAGGCTAGACCTCCTCCATAGATTGCCACATAGGGAGGATTTTACCATAGTTGCCACGCTTAGCAGGCGGGCTAGCAGAGAAGAGAGAGAGAGAGAAAGACAGAGAGAGAGAGAGAAGATGCTGTTGCCCATGGAGATGTGCTCCTGTTTCGATTTCCCTCGGGCACCTCTTACGACAACTACGGGCCAATATGGCTATTCTTGCATAGCCACTACATGTTTGCACTAAGTGTAGTAAGTAAAAGTGATTGTGTATATTAATTTATGAAATTTAAAATTTTTAGTTTGTATGAAAATCATTTCGCATTATTTAATGTTTTTTCCTTGATCGAACTTTCAGAACGCTAACATTACTAATTCTCTTTTCCAGAATGATGTTTAGAAAGAAATCCTTGCCATTGGTTCAGTATAGCCAACGCTCCGCAACTTTTCAATCAGCCATGAAACTGTCTATTGCGATTGGGCAATTTTTTGGACTCAATCCGGTTATTGGTGTTTTCAATATCGATGCATCTAAAATGCGGTAGTTAAGTTAACTTATTTTTCTATTGAATTAATTTTATATGTCGTGCATTTGAACTGTTTAATCAATTCCATCACAATATTCATGTAATAATGGGTGCTGATTTTGATAATATTCTGCCATTATTGATCTTGCGATTACATCTCGTAATATGCTTGATAGAGCTCTTATTTACTACATTAAATAACACATTGAGTTCATTGATTTCTATGCTTAAAGTGATCGAGTCGACAGTCAACATAGCTTCACTAAGTAAGCTAAGTAAGCTAAGCTTTTCACTTACAAAGTCTAACCCGGAAGAGATTGCAGATTAGTGATTTGCAAAAATAATATCGTTACTATTGTTGTCAGTAAACATAAATACACAATATATAAACACTCACGCCTGTCACCCAGAGGAGTAGGCAGAGACTATGGACTTACATTTGGCACGATCCTGACACACCTCTCTCGCTTCCTCCACATCCATATACCTACCTGGTCCATTTTCAATATATCGCCAATTTGGCCGATAAACTTTCGCCTAGGGCGTCCCTTCCCGACTCTGCCGTTCACCTCTGGGTGACAGGCGTGAGTGTTTATATATTATGTATTTATCTTTACTGACAACAATAGTAACGATATTATTATTAATATTATTTAGTAAACTTATAAATATTATTATGTTGTGTGTATAATAAAGAGAATATATAAAAATGTTTTATAGCATAAGAACATTTAAAGATAAAGATGACAAGCTATAATTATAGTTTACGTGTTAGAGCCACGCTGCACCTGTATTATGACAACTAAACAAATGACAAGTAAGCTCGAACGGGAGAGGACAATACGATATCATTTTACCAGAAAAAATAAGCAAAATATTGATGTATGTCGTATGGCGAGTGTAGGAATTCGGAGATATATTTTACTAGCGTAAAATAGCAGCTATGCTGCTGTGTTCCGTATGGTGAAGGTAGAGAACCGGAGACCTTTTTTACTGGAAACGAGACATATTATCTTAGTCCTCAGGGGTGACAACGCATCTGCATTTTTATTTTCAATTGACGACAGATGATGATGTCTATTGGTAACCAAACATTCAATCATAGTTCACTGCATCTTGAATGTTAATCAATGAATAATATAGGTGTATATAGACGACAATAACAAACATACTATCAGGTAAACTGTGTGCTGATTTGTCACCCCAAGTGTAAAAAAGGCGAGGCATTGTCACAATGTGCCCCTCGTTACCATTTTCTTGTTTTAATTTTATGGACATTAAATACAATAAAGTTATATACAATTGGAATGTTTAACCAGGTTTACATTTTATTCAGCACGGTGTTTATACACAATCTTATCGATTTTGGTGCAAGGCACAATATTATGTTTTTGCATATTAAAATATATAAAGGACACTGAAACATCACTCTCGTCCAACAGTAAGTGGATTTTTTTAATGTTGTTATAAATATAATATGGCAGTATCTATTTCAGTATAGGTGTAAGTTGTTACTAATACGAGTAATTATATAGTTATTTTACGGGAAATAATGAAACTTACAAAGAAGATTTAATGATCGAAACGAAGAGAAAATAGTTGATGAATATATTATATTCGCGTATGGAAAAGTTTCGTTTGAAATATAAAATTAGGAAGAATAATGTGAAATTATTTTAGAAGTATCATAGAGGCATCATGCCTCTATTTTAGTCAGAAGAAGAAAAAAATTATATAATTCTCTGTATAGAAAGTGTCCCATTTAATATATTGACATTAATTGTAATGTATTTATATACATATATTATAATTAAGTTTTATCTACTTTTGACTTATGTTATGTTCTTATAAACGTTATATAAAGCGATAAAATAACATTATCATGCGCATTTCAGCTTCTCTAGTATTCTACAGTTCTAATTTTATTACAATGGTACTGTTTCTTCGGATGGCTATGAAATGGCCGCGATTTTGCTTACAAATATCTATGACGGAAGCTTTAAGTCCTAACTTCGATACTACACTGGTTAAGAAATGTAATTTGACCTGCGTACTCGTCCTTACTTTAGCCCTTGGTGAGATATATGTACATTAACATTTAACACAGGTTTAACAGTTACTTATTAAAATGCCAAAGAGTATTTTATTATTAATAATTTCAAAATAACTTTAAATAATTTTAATATTTTAGTATAAAAACTAAATTAATTAAGATAAAATAAGTAGATCATAAAAACTTATCTTTTTGTAAACTATGCACGGAAACATCTTTAAACTATAGTGTAGTGTGGTTTTTCATGTGAGACTATGTTTATACGAATATTATTCGGCAACTGTAATTGTTGGAAAAGATCAGAACATCTTTAAACAATATTCAATCGTAGCCATTACGGAAAATCCTCTTAACTTTGAGAGGAACTCATGTCAAGTCGTGGACACATATGAGCACCAAGGCACTGTACCTCAGTTGTCAGATTAATAGTATATTATGCGGTACTATATACTTAAATAATAACTCATATATTTGCAGTTGAACATATTCTATCAGATCTATCGGGATATGCGGCATTGATTGATTGTCAACCACATAAAAATGCTTACGAAGCTTTCATAACTCATAGCTATCCTTGGGGTTACGCGTTTTTGTCCTATAACCATTTTGTAGGATTTCTATCACAGGTATATAAAACTGTTAAAAATTTTTTCCGTCATAATTTATTGTTTATATTTTTCTTAATTTGTAAGTTCTTCTGTATCTTTTCTTATTTTTTTATATGCTCATTAGGCTAAATATGAAATGGGACTGTGAAAATTTTAAAGTGATTCCCTGTTTCTTAATTTACACTTTTACTTTACTTGAACGCTGAAAAATCATACATAAAAAATCTTATCTTTTACTAAACATCACCTAACACTCGACGGATAGAAATAAAGGATTTCTTAATAAATCATTGTGCACTCATTATTATCCCCTGCCTGTAATGAACTTCGTTAAAAGCTTAAAAATATTAAAATGTTATGTTCAAATTTTATACTCGCTAGAGCCTTGCTACGGCTATGTTAATTTTACAGTTGTAGCAGGAATGAGTCGGCTCGACCGAGAAAGGACCACGCTCTCACAGAATACCAGCCTAAAATAGCAGCTAACAGTGCTGTGTTTCGTATGGTGAGTGTAGAGAGCCAGAGACCCTTTTTACTGGAAATGAGGCATTCCATCTTAGTCCTCACGGCTAACAAAGCATGTGCATTTTATTCGCAAACGACGATAGATGTAGATGTCTATGGGGCACAGTAACCACTTACCATCAGGTGGGCTGTGTGCTCGATCGTAACCGATATCCTATAAAAAAACGCAAGACCTTTAAAAATATTATTGTTTGTAACAAATGTATTGGTAAGTATACTTGATGGTTAGATACCACTGCAGTGTACGAATATCTGCATCCTAATAATTAAGCTGAAAGACGGCATATAGTGTAGTCATATGAGACATCGGCTATGTATGCCCTAAAATCTGAAACACAACAATGGGTGAATTTTATTACCAATTATCTAGATAGCCTTCAAAGCAGGTTTCAACTATACAGGAATCTTTATTAGCTTGCATTACGTCCACGACATCAAAAATTGGCAAAATTTGCCGTAATCTATATTATTGCCGCACCAATTGGTGACCGAAGTGGCAATTGAAATGAAATCTATAAAATATCGTATCTATTTAATATATGGTATAATATAATTTTATTAACAGAATTTTCTTATTAACTTTCAGCTTGTCAATATACAGTCCACATTCACTTGGAGTTTTGTGGATGTATTTATTATCTGCATTAGCTTTTACTTGATCTCAAGACTAGAACAAGTCAACCTAAAAATTGTTGCAGCTCGCGGTAAAGTAAGAGTTTTTTTAAGATTCAATGAAATGAAAATGAACTGATTTCAATGAAATTTTGCACACTGTGTGCATTTTGGTCCAGCTTGAGAGATAGGGTCGTTTTTACCCTCAAATTTTCGTAGAAAGGGTCGTTGGAAAGGGCAGAACAACGTCTGCCTGGCGAGCTAGTTTAAATATATAATACATATTGCCTTTTTAGACTATGTCGTCGTACTTTTGGCGTACGATCCGTGAAGATTACTGTAGAGCTGCGTCTCTTGTGAGGCGTATTGACGATGTTATTGGAGCTATAATATTTATCTCTTTCGCAAACAATCTCTTTTTTATCTGCCTCCAACTATATAACTTGTTGAAGTAAGTACACCTTTGCAATAAAAAAAAAAATTTCAATTCAATTTATCATAAATCCTATGCCTAATATGTTTTAACTGAATTCGATTTGTTTACTATAAATTTTTTGCTTATCGGATTATTTTTTAAGGTTTATAGGAGTTACTTTCATACACACATAATACATTGATTGATTATTGTCTTAAAGTAATTTCAGAGATGGCATCAATGCTACAAATTTATGTAGTGACCAAGACGTAAGGTACATAACATTTATTTAAATGTTAGGAATTTTCATTTATATAATATAATCGTCTTAATTTATTTTTATCTTTAATTTATATTTTAACCTACTGCTGGATATATACGAATACACCAAAGTTGTACATTACACTAAATTAAGATACGAAACCCTAAAACCGGCGGCAGCAAACTCACCACCAATGGTGACAACTATGGCAAATATCCCTCCTATAAGGCAATCCATTGCGGAGGCGTATGCTATGTTGGACTGTGGACCAGTAGTCTAATCATATGACGTAATTCGTAAGGAAGTTTTCACCGATATAAATACTACATGAGGACATTTTTATGTGATTCCACTTATCGTAATATTTATCAAAGGTTTCTTATTTTACGATGATAGTTTTAAGTAGCCAATTACTAATTAGCGAAAAATAAACTAATTCGCTTTATGAGCAGCCTTGTATTAATTTATATTACTCAATACACTTTGCTTTACTCCGGGCCACAGAGCACTTTTTTACTCCGGGCTCGGCCGCCGTCGTGAGAGGTTGTTTGTTTACAGCGGTTCGTGCTGAAAATTATCAAACGCTGTAGAAATACAAAATGTTCCAAAAACCAAATTTCATACATACTTGACCAAGGTAAGATATTATTATTATTATTGTAATCACAGATTTTTATTACAATTTTTTTTCGCTAAAAGTGAGCAGGATTTATATATAAATATACTTATACGTCTTGGACTTTATAAAGATATGTAGTTGTACGTCAGTATCTGCTACTGAAACTCCTCGATGAGTAGAACTAGATGTGTCGAGATTGTGTGATGGTGGACTTGATGGAGTGACTTGAAGGTGTAGTTCGGTGAATGATACTGGAACTCCTCGAATAGTAGTAATTGTAAGCGGTGTGCTGAGTTTAGGCTTGTTTTGTTAGTTATGATGAGACCTCCAGAAATGATGGAGTGACTTGAAGGAAGTTTATCTACGTGGTAGAGCCATGCAGTATAGTTGTAGCACGAATGGATCGGCTCAACCGGGGAAGGACCACGGTCTTACAGAATACCAGCGTCAAATAGCATAAAACTGCTGTGTTTCGTATGGTGAGTGTAGAGAATCGGAGACCCTTGTTTTTTTTTTTTTTTTTTTTTTTTTTTTTTTTTTTTTTTGTTTTTTTTTTATAGGATCGGGTGACAAACGAGCACACAGTCCACCTGATGGTAAGTGGTTACTGTGACCCATAGACATCTACATCTATCCTCAATAAAGACTCAAAATGCAGATGCGTTGTCACCCGTGAGGACTAAGATGGAATGCCTCTTTGACAGTAAAAAGGGTCTCCGGTTCTCTACACTCACCATACGAAACACAGCAGCGTTAAGCTGCTATTTTACGCTGGTTTTCTGTGAGAGCGTGGTCCTTCCCCGGTCGAGCCGACCCATTCGTGCTACAACCATAATATAGCTGCAGCATGGCTCTACCACGTACACAGTTGTTACTGCAAAAGAGGCATTCCATCTTAGTCCTCACAGGTGACAACGCATCTGCATTTTGATTTGCCAGCGAGGATAGATGTAGATGTCTATGGGCCACAATAAATAACCACTTACCATCAGGTGGACTGTGTGCTCGTTTGTCACCCAATCCTATAAAAAACTCGACTCTCCTCGACGAGGAGAACTAGATGTTCTGAGTTTGGGCTCGTTTTGTTATTTATGTAGAGACTTTACCTCTGAAGTTGACGAAGTGTCTTCAAGGTGTACTTCGATGACTGCTACTGGAACTCTTTGACGAATAGTACTACAATTTATTAATTTTTTTCACTATCATATGAGAATTATGAGTCGTGCACTTTTGGATATTCCAAACTTTTTTTATTAAACTTTGACATTAAATTATCGTAAAATTGCAAGTTTAGTAATAAAGTAATTATTGAAAACTTGTGTGTATTTAAACATCTTAAAAATAACGTATAATCATGTTATAAGTAATTTTTGTAATGCACTTAAGGCATGCACAATTGGATTTACCAATCGTTTTTTGAAATCTTTATTTCTATTTATAAATAATTAATATTTCAGGCCCCTGCATGGCTACGAGCAAGCCACATACTTTATGTATTCCTTTATATTCCTTGTAATGCGATCGTTAGCGGTTTCGTTGATAGCGGCCCGTGTGTATGCATCTAGTCGCAAGCCAGCTATCTCTTTGTACGAGGTGTCATCGACTGCATACTGTACTGAGGTATAACTATGAAATATGCTACGTAACTCTCTTTAATTCATCCATGATAGTGATTTTGACAGAATTTTAGGAAAACCAAAGTAGTATCAATACCACAAATTTATCTCCCATCGAATAGGTCTGAAAATTGGCATGGCCAAAACAGAAGTCATGTGTAACTTCTATGCTATACCCATGTTGCTAGTTTTTGGGAACACTCCGTTAGAATGTTTTGACAAGCATGCTTACTGAGGACAACTTTTACGACTAGGTAAGTCCAGATTCGCAGAAAAGGTCAATATGGAACATAGTTAGCTTGGTAGAGTTCGGGAAATTACGAAATTTTATCCGTGGTAGAGCCATGCTGCAGCTATATTGGTTGTATAGTTGTGGCATGATTGAGTCGGCTCGACCGGGAAAGGACCACGTTGTCACAGAATACCAGCATAAAATAGCAGATTAACACTGCTGTGCTTCGTATGGAGAGTATAGAGAACCGGAGACCTTTTTTACTGGAAAAGAGGCATTCCATCTTAGTCCTCACAGGTGACAACGCATCTGCATTTTGATTCTTTATTGAGGATAAATGTAGATGTCTAATGTATGTAAAAACGACAGATTTTCTCGTCTCGTTCCTAAAAACTTAAAAACAAAAGTGACCTAAATGTCTGGGACTATATGTTCTCAAGTAACAGGCTCGTTTTGATAAGACAAAAATAGGGCGACCCTGACAAGACGACTCCTTGGGGGTGGCCTTTGTTCAGCAGTGGATTTACGAAGAGCTATTACGATGATTTTAATCGTGACGATGATGCTATATTAGTGTGCAACATGTTGCTATATAAGGTAAAATCTTCCATGTGGTGGCAGTATTAAAGAATCTATCATCCATTACGTCGTGTGGATTTCGTAAGAAGCAATTATATGAAATGCTGAAAGGTCTCATGGCTTCCAAAGCATACCGGTCACTACACCCGACGATAATTCCTAGTCAAGCGGCGAGTAGCTGCGTTCTAATTACTATATTACGATCGCCATTACAGCTGCTGAGCGTGGCAATGATAGCAAATGTTTCCGTTGTGGGACTGCCCCAAGTATAGCAGCAATGGACTTTAAGGGGCTGATAGAGATACGAATTCACCAACTATTTAAAAATATTATAAGTAGGATTTTATCATATTATTATTAAGTCACTTTCTTATTCGTCTGTCTGTCGTTCCGGGTGGAATATTGCAACTCATATTTCGAGCCCTTCCCGATGAGCTAGAGACTTAAAATTTTGAACATAGCTCAGAATCAGATAACAATGTAGGTATATGGAAAAACGTGGTATATTAAACTTTTTACTAAAAAATTTATTTACCACGTTTTTCAAAAATTTGCTGTTTTGTTTAATAAGCTGTTTAATTAATTTTACACGGGTTTTTTAGATTCAGAGGTTTTTAGACCAAATCCACGGAGACACAGTTGCATTAAGTGGGCTTCAATTTTTTAATATCAAAAAAGGACTAGTGCTCTCTGTAAGTGTTTTGAGTATAATAAGTCACGCCGAAACTATTTCACTTAAATTTTATAAAAAAGGGACTAGGTTCATAAAATTCAGTAAGATCAGGTGGAGTGAGTGTTCGTTTTATTTATCTGCTTATATCAAAAAAGTCTTCAATCATCATTATCATGATTGCAGTCCATAACAAGCACGGTGTACGGATCTAGTGTTGTAAAAAGCTGGTCATATATACCTACGCCACCTGCTTCCATCAGCTTTAACACGAACTTTAACATGCCAGCTCGGTTTCTAATTTTTGTATTAATTTAAAACTTTTAAAAAATGTTAAAGTTGTTAACGTGTTAGAGCCACATTGCGGCGTATTTCACCTGCAACATTTATGAATCGGCTCGATTGGGTGAAAAAACAGCATAATGCTGCTGTTTCGTATGATGGGTAAAGGGAACCGATGACCTTCTTTACGTTACCAACGTAGCATTCTATCTTGGATATTAGAGGTGACAAAGAACTGACAACCTCTAATAACCAAGTAATATCCTTTACGGATAAATATCGGTGTGCATGGACCTAAAGTGGTATCGACTTACTATATATACCTACTGCGTTTGTGACACTTCCACAAAAAAGTTAGTTTTTAAGTTTTATGTTTTACCGATTTCAAAAAGGAGGAGGTTATAAAATGTGTATGTTTTTTTTAGTGTATGTTACGCAACATATTTGCAAATTGTGAACCTATTTTGATGATATATATTAAATAGGCTATACTTTAAGGGTGGTGCCATATAAATTTAGAGAAAAAATTCCACTTCTAAGAGTAGCATAAAAATATAAATATAATAAAAATAACTCCTTTTTACAATTTGAAGTCGCTTTTTAATTTTTGTTAAAAGTTATAATTATTTATTCAAATTTTTCTTAAAATTTTCTCAATTTTTAGATTGTGGGAACAATTGCGACATATGAACTAGTCTTACTACAGTTTACTGGAATGACTCCGACATCAAGTCCGCCAGCAGCTGATTAAAAGGAAATATTAACAATAATCATTTTTCTTTCATAAAAGAAATGTTATGTCCTAACTGCTCTTACGTTAATAAAAGTTTGCATAAAATAAAAATAAGTTGTAGTAACGTAACGCGCGACTCGTATGTGTATTTTTTTTTTGTATAAACTTACATAAAACATAGTTCCTGAAAGAAGAAAATACCTTAGGAATGTAAAATGTATAAATTTTATAATCTCAATAAATATGATGTGAAAATAACTGAATTAAAACAATTACATAAAAACCTATATATGCTGTAGTCCAATAAAATTAAAAGTAAATTTTGTTTCGTTTTGTTTTTTGGTGTTACCTTTAGAAAATATTAACGACACATAATTCGGTTATAAAAACAGGTAGTGTTCACGCCCTTAGCTGCCCCGACAAAGGTCGAATGGGCTAGGGCCCATAGTAGCCTCCTCGACGAGCAACAGAGGACGGGGCCCAATGGCCTATGGATAAATGTTCAAAAACGGCTGACAAATAAGCAAGCACTTACCGGTCTCTGGAGGTAGGGTTGACCACAGGGTACCAGTCAGGTGATAAGTTAGGTGTATGTAAAGTGGTGTGCGAAAGTGTATATACATGTAACCTGACGGTCCGATGTAATCGACAGCAACCCTGACACCCGGCACCGTCCCAAGATGTGGTATCACTCTAGCGGCGTCACCTCGATGTCACTCAAGTCTAGAGTCACTTAGCACAAATCAATAATCTAATACGAACGTTGTTTCTCGCGGGTCACAAGGTTTTAGCGTTTTAACCGACAAGGAAAATGTCTACGAACTATATCAAATGCCACACGAGCAAAATTAATATTGTCAAATTCACTTCAACATGCAATCACTATACAAATTACTTGCAAATAAAGTTAAGTAAATCATTCAACTCAACAAAACCCTTGTCGTTACGTAGAACTTACTAACAAAAAAAAAACGACACAATAAGAGGTTATTTGGTGCGCGACCACGCGGTTCTAATAGCTTCCCTTTTACACGCAACCTCGCAGTTCAACGGAGCAAAAGACTGTCCATTCTTTTCACTATTTTAGTTTATCGACTTTATGGTACATTTAATTAACTTCAAAGTCAACCAACTCAACGTTCATTGGAATTAAAACAAGTGACACTCGACACAAGTAAAGAACAGTAGGTCAAAGTTCAATATTCAATGTTCCGGTTCACTCAGCACAGAATTACAAACACGGAACGAACGCGGTCTCTTCTTGAGTCACAAAGTTCAGCGTTCTCCCGAACAAGTCAAATTCTTTCGTACGATATTAAATGCCTCAAAGGAACTAGTCGAATCAAATTAACGTCAATCAAAGTTAAGTTAATAATTCAAACGCAATACAAGCCTCCCGTCACGAAACGTACAATTCAGACAAATCAATTCGAGGCGGTCTACACGAGACCCAAATATTCAATAGTAAATTAGGCGCGCACAATTTACTCAAATTCTAGGCCCTCAAAAAATCTAAACCACCCGCACGCAACCAACCCAGCGGTCGCAAAAGAACTATCCCATTGCCCGCGCGTCAAGCTACTACCGTGGCGCTTGACGCCTCGGCAAAACCAGTCCCGTTATCTACACGTCATGCCTGCCAGGAATGCACCGCGTTGCGCGCTTCGTAATATTGCTTTTAAAAAAATCTGAACCGGCCGCACGCAACCAACCCAGCGGTCGCAAAAGAACTATCCCATGGCCCGCGCGTCAAGCTACTACCGTGGCGCTCGACGCCTCGGCAAAACCAGTCCCGTTATCTACACGTCATGCCTGCCAGGAATGCACCGCGTCGCGCGCTTTGTAATATTGCTTTTAAAATTTAGCATTTGGCGCAAATAGGTAGACTTACCTCAAGTAGTAGTCCTGTATATCTATAAAATAAATTTGTATACATTGTGAAAGTACATATTTTGATAAACAAATCTACAAAATCAATTATGTAATTGCAGATATTTAGTTTTAAATATTTATAAGAAAATACAGTCAGTTTTATTGGTGACTATTTTTTTCACTTAATTTTATAGGTACCTAGTGTAGTTATTGCATATATATATATATATATGTCACTGTCTCGAGCGCACCGCGTTAGTTACACGAGAGCATCGGGCGAGAGTGGACGTGTTTAGTTAAGTACGTGCCGAGCCTGTGTTACACTACAGTGATTAGAGAAGATAGCAGACAATACACCTAGTATGGCCAGTAGGACTCCAGGATGCATGGTTCGGATCACACTCACACAGAATACCATCGAGAAATAATGCTGCTTTGTTTTATTTGGTGAGTGCAGAGAAACGGAAACCCTTTTTAGAGGTTATCAGGCATTTAATCTTAATACTAAGGTGTCACCGTTTTTGTATATACTACTGCTCATATTTATAAAAAAATGGTTTAGAAGTTCACTGTAAGCATAAAAAATAACAATGTTGCAACAGACGGCTATTATGAACTTTGTGGCGCGGCAATCGAGTTAATTGAATCACTGACTGGAGTGCACTTATTGATTTTCATTGGACCGCATTGGATGAAATCTATCGCTCTTGGCATAAAACTGACTTAAATCACGATATTTTTTTTAATATTATAGCCTTTATGCTAGTACAAAATAATATTTATTAACAGAACTTAAATCAATATACATATTTACATAAAATATAAGAGCTCGTATATTTAAATAATAGCATATAGGTTAATAAAGGTCTCTTTTAATTTCTCAGAGGGATTTAGGGCTAATAAAAAACAAAATAAACCACCGAAACATTCCTTTCTTAATCCTGGTCACAACATCATCTTGAAAATCACACTCTTCTCTTATTACACTATTTCTCTATCATCATTCATCATTCATTTCATCCCTAACATACTCCTTAATGACCGCATTTCTACAGCATTTATTTTACTCTCATGCTTCTTCTCCCACACCCAACTTTCACTATCATAAATTAAAGTAGGGAACTAACACAGCATTTTAAATTACCATACGTGCCTTTTTGGACACATTCTGACTTTTCACACTAGAGTTTAGAGCCCCATTCACTATATTTCCTGCGTTCACTCGTCGTTCTATATCCTTATCATATCTACCATCCCTGCTAAATACACATACCAAATACACAAACTCATCTACTTGCTCGACCAACTCCCTTTCTATTCTTATTTCACATATCATTTTGAGTACGTATAAATATATCTGAAAGTATAATATTTTGTTCTACAAGACTTAGACTCTAAATTTGTTCTAAGCTACTTAGTGATAATGTGTATCTTAATAAAAGTAAAAGAGCTAACTGAGACTGTAACGAGTGACATTGATGAAGACGATGAAGACAAGGAGTTGGCTATGAAGTAGATAAGGAAAATTAAGATTAAAAACAAGATTAATAAATAATGCGGTATTGCCACTCAGGAAAACATCATAACAGCAGACCAAAGCTTTAGTGCTGTTAGCTCTCTTAAGTTTAAACAATTTTGGCTTTATTATTAATATTTTAAATGAAGAACTTTTTGTATGGCACTAAGAATACATGAACTTGTTTTCATTTCCAATTTAAAAAAGGGTGCAGTCAGCTCTTTATTCATAAAGTCAAGACATGTGTTGGAATATAACAGGAATGTTTTACCGTTAATGTGAAAACAGAAATTTTTCGAAATGCAATGAACAGCGTTGACGTAGCGCGAGTTTTGTTTTTCCGGAAGTGGAGCATAAGCATGACGTCAATATAACTTCCTATGAATACTTATGAATTGCAGAGTAATAACATCCATTTTATTTTTATAATCATGTCATAAGAACAGGATAAACCAACATGCAGTAGTTCTGTAGCGTTTCGGAGTATTATTGTAGCAATCTTAAAAAGATTAATTGCTTAATAAATATTATCTGTTTTTGCTGCTATTTGTAAAAATTGAAAGTGTAGACTTCTATACATGGAAAAAGTAAAAGTTATGTCATTCAAATTAAAGAAAGT